ACAGGATTACCTCATTATCCTCTAGATCAGGTATTTCTACCTCTTAATCCACATTTTCTTCCAAGCATTCACTTTCTCCTTGTCTCCTACGTCTAGCCATTTTAGTGTCCCACCGGGCGTGCCAAAAATATATGTTGGCTTTTTAGCTTTCGAAGGTTAATGATGTAAATTTAAGTGTGCTAGCAAGGATCAATTAGTTCTTATAGAATATTAATTGCCAACCAATTATCAGACGATTGTATTATAATTCTTTCAACCTCAATGAAGAGGACTTTTATTGGTGGCTTGTTTAGGAGAAATTAGTAAATTATAACAAGTGAAGAACAATTTCAAAATCTGAATTTCATCAAGTAAATGAAAACTTACAATGATCTGACCCAACCTCGTAGAGGTTCACAGCAACAAACTATTTGAAACTACTCTTAGGAAATGAAGTACAGTACATGAATTGAAGTGCAGAAATGTAAAGAACTGTAAAACTGGAAGAAATATGAAGTAAATAAACTGGTTTTTCGATCTGAGTCTGGGTCTTCATTCTGGAGTATTCCTTACTATTTATACTTCTCAGTGGTAACCGTCGAAATGGGCTTCCAACTGTCGAAAATGCCCTCCCATGATTCCTGAACATGATCTCTCACAGTTAGTCCTGCTACACTACTCTTGCAGTTAGGTTTCCCTCATGATTTTGAATTTAAACTTTATGAGTAACCGTTAGGCCACATCATCTTGTATCTTTCGATTGTTCTAGTGTTACGCAGATCCATTATTACCAATACGAATTACCACGTGTCTGACTTTGGTTGACAACTTGTATTAACTACCCAAATTGCCCCCTTCGTGCCACGTGTTGGATTATGATTGGCTTTTACAAATTATACAGCCAACATTACCCCTCACATTAATATACCCAATACTTGGTGATATTAGTGAACTAGTGCAATCCACCTACGTTCTAGAACGTGTATGGACTCTGTGTATTCTAGTAGTATAACTGCTCTTTGAATAATGAAGCATGAACTTCATTAAATCCTTGTATCTTGTACTTCCATTCTTTGAGTAGGCGAACAGACTGGTACATCCCCAATAGACAATCACACCTTCTCTTACATTGATCGAACATACGAGGAGTCTTTGGAAGATGATTGCAGGCCTCAAAAGAACCTTAATGCATTTATTAGTTACACCTACCCGCCTCTATTTATACAAATCATGGAAGCTTTTGCAAATTACTAACCTTTAGACCAAAAATCTGCCAACTGCAAACCCTTGGACCAGGCATTTGCAAAAATAGACCTTGGAAGCTCCTCTTCTGCCCCATCACTCTCTGCATGGGACATAGCCGCTTCTTCTTCCTCTAGGTCTACTGGCAGGAAAAGTTGGCCGAAACCTGATGAACCCGAATTAAGGGAGCGGATTCACCATCGATTTGTTGAATTCGATGATCCTCTTTCCATTCCTCCTTTATATCTCGCCGTCGATGGACCTATCGCTGCCGCTGCTACCGTTACCATCGCCGCCACCACCACCACATATCTATTCTCTCTCTAATCTCTTCTCTCGCCGCTGTAGATCTTTTCTCTCTTTGTCGTCGCCATCGTCATACTCAACTATCGATTGGATCCAAGAATATCTACTCTCTCTCTCTCTCCTTCTCTCTCTTTTCCTTCCATCTCTTGTGGTAGTTTCTATTTTCTCTCTTTTCCACATTAATTTATAGGGTTTTATGTAAAAAAATGTCATGTTCTCTCTCTTTCTCTCTGTCTCTCTCTCTATATATATATATTGGATGTTGTGTTTGTTTAATCGGTGCAAATCCTATCCAGATCCAGATCAACCATTGAACAGATTTGTTACTCTTTATTTGTTGAACATATCTTCATCTCTCTCTTGATCTGATTTTTTTTGGTTTCTATTTTCATTTTATGTAAGGTTAAATTTGTTATTGCTGTTGTTGTTGTTGTTGTTGATGATGATGATGATGATTAGTGTAATACTCCTTCCGTTCCAAAATAATAGTCATTTTTGGAAAATCTAATTTTTTTGGTAGTATAATTATTGCACTTTAAAAATATTAATTTATTAAAATTACCCTTTGATAGTACATTTTTTTAGAGATATCAATTGTCATAATTGTACTTTTTGTGTTAATGAATTTAAAAAAAGGACAAAATAAAAAATTTAAATTATTTTAGTTCTTTATTTTTGAAAAATAACTAATATTTTGGAACAACGAAAAATGGAACAAGGGATTAATATTTTGGGATAGAGGGAGTTTTTTTTTTTTTTTTTTTTTTTTTTTTTTTTTCCCTTAAATTTTTGTTGTTGATTGTTCTTGTTGAGAAATATATTGCAACATATAAAAAAATGTGATGTATATGAATCTGTGGTCCAACAGGTAAAAAAAATGATGATGTTGAGAATGGTGTGTTTCAATAAGAATGTCACGCCCCAAAATTTAAACAATAAAATATTAAATTAGGACTAAACCCCAATCAACATTCCATCATCCAAATTTTAGAGGTGAAATAAAATCTAAATGCTCTTGTCTCCATAACGTTTAAGTACATTTCAATGCTAAAAAAAAATACAAGGGATAAAAAAAAAAATAATAAATGCCAACCAAACTATCTGTTATAAATTCATAACTATCTAATATCTCAAACATTAAAGTAACAACAACTAGTCAAAACAACTTAAATAATGTAAAATGAAAAATAACCCACAATGTCAAATTGTCAAAATACTAAGGTTATAAAAAATAATAATAAATATATAAACTAATATCAATCCCTAAACTCTAAATTTCAGAAACCAAAAGAAATCTAAACGATATATCCAACAACTATAGTCATTTCTCATCATCATCGTAGTCCCAACTAATACTGCAAAGGAAGCTCGACTGTGCTCAAATAGAATGCACTTGAGTAGCCAAGAGACAAAACGGGTCAGTATATAGGTATACTGGTATGAGTACAAGATTTAACACCCACGTGTCCACCAAACACAAACAAAAGTACATTTAATTCTTGTTACGGAACAAGACAAGTAGTTCCACCTGCACTGAGATGAAGGGGCAGTTTCCTGAAATACGGTGGCATTTAGTTTATTACCCGCACACAACTAAATATAATTAAGTATAAAATAAACAAAATAAAAATAAAATATGGTGAGACAACCCTGCATAAAAAGTTAGTAAGACCCACAATTCTGCAAAAAAAAAAAAAAGTTAATATAATTTAGTTATAAGTAACTTGATGAAGAATTATAAAAATGTACCGTTTTATGTTTAAATTATTCGAATTGACCAAAACTCAAAGAACAAAAGTTGTACAAAATTAAATTTTCTAAAAAGCAACGCAAACGAATTTAGTAAAAACTAAACAGGTTGAGAGAAAAACTTGATAGAAGAACTTAGACGGAATTCAACCAAAAAATCTGAAACTGAAATAAAAAAGAAACTGCCCTAAGATGATTTTTTTTCGGATACGAAAAGTGTTCAGAATAATGTTTTATTTCAGTTTACGTGAAACCAATAAAAATGATTTTTGTACAACATCATATACCTAGGGCTGTAAACAAGCCAAGTTGAGTCGAGTTTTACCGAGCTTGAACTCGACTCGATAAATAATTGGGCTCAAGCTTGGCTCGACTTGTTAATATTTAATGAAATTTGAGCTTGACTCGATAATTTTTTTAAATATTATTTATATTATTTTAAATAAAAATATTTACATAAAAAATATTATATATAAATAATACCTTCACTATATAATTTAAATAAAAATAAACGAATTAAACTTGATAAGTCAAACTTATTTAAATTCGAATTTGACTCGTTTATGAAATATTCAAACTTAAACTTGAATCATTTATTAAATAAGTTAAGCCCAACCGCTATTTATAAACAAATTAATTCATTTAGAACCCCACGTATATCTCAGAACTTATCTCAGCGCAACTTGTTTTTGGATTCTGCATCACTGATGGATATCTTTATTATAATTTGTGGTGTCCCTTTAGTCTTCAAAGTCAATCAATCATGCCAAATCTTTCTTAATCTGTCGACACATGGTTCATTTCACTGACATTCCTTTCGTTGAGTTTTGGGGCGATTAAAGAAATTTTTTTAAGTTTCACCTCAGTAACAAATCAAATATTAATTTTGTAATTATTTTAATTTAAATTCTTTATTTTAAAAACGATATCAATTACAGCTATTTGCTAGTTATAACTAGCAAAACAAACTTAATTTAGATAATTTAATTATTTTTTTTCGTTTATTATGATTGACAGCCACCTTTAACTTTTATTATTATCCATCACCACTCTTCTTTCCTAATGCACTGTTATCCCTCCATCTTTTTTTTTTAATCTACTGCTACTTTCCTTCCCTAACTGCTGCCACCTTTCTCCTTCTTTTCTTATGGAGCCACCATGGTTGTCTAGTACCACCAACCAAAAGTAAGTCCTATTAATATACAAACAATAATTGTGATTGTTGTGGTTGTGCTATTAAATTTGATATGAATAGATAGTATCACATATAAATTATATATATATAATGCCCTCCTTTAACATTTCTATTCACATAACATATTGTCTATTTTTTTGTTAGTCATTCATTAATCATATAAATGAATAAATATTGAAATATACATTTTACCTGTAATTAGTTATATGTTCATGCGCCATATGTTTTAATTCTATTTACTTTAGCCTTACCAGTATAATTATTTGTCAAATTCATAAATCTTATCACATGTATATAAATATTTAAATGTTGAGAGGTAAAATTATACTTTACCCTGTGAAAGGAATTAAGAGGAGTAATACTATCTTTGTCGTCTCTCTCCCCCCAATATCCACTTGTGGTGTCTCTTTAGTCAACCAATCACGACAAACATTTCAATTAATCTATTAAATAAAAAAAAAAAAATGAGTATGTTATTGTCCCTACCCTACCTCCTTTTCCTTCTATAAGAAGGCTAGTGTTTGTGTGTGTTCACAAGCTCAAGCAAGCACCCTGTGTGTGTGAGTGTTTACAAATTCGCTCTCCTGCACCACTTTGACAATAGTTTTTTTTTTCAAACCATGGCCAAGTATACTACTTTGTCCAGTCTTTTAATCCTTCTTCTGAACTTGGGGACTTTGCTAACTACACTTGCATGCCCTTACTGTCCGTACCCAACGCCTCCTTCCATACCACCACCCAAATTGCCTCCCTTGCCACCCCAACATCCTTCTAAACCACCACCCAAACCTCCGGCTGTGAAACCGCCTTACGTCCCCAAACCACCCGTCGTTAAACCCCCATATGTGCCCAAACCACCTATTGTTCGACCACCATATGTGCCCAAACCACCCGTTGTTAAACCACCACCATTTGTGCCCAAACCACCCGTTGTTAAGCCACCCTACGTGCCCAAACCTCCAATTGTGATGCCGCCGCCTTACGTCCCCAACCCTCCAATAGTAAAGCCGCCGCCTTATGTCCCCAGCCCTCCAATAGTAAAACCACCTTCTCCACCAATTGTGGTGCCACCACCACCGACACCAATTGTGATGCCTCCTTCTCCCCCGGTTGAAAAGCCATGTCCTCCTCCTCCGCCGCCAGAAACGCCATGTCCACCACCACCCCCAATGGTGGTGCCATTCCCTCCTCATCCTCCGGCACAACAAACGTGCCCAATCGACACTCTCAAACTAGGGGCGTGTGTGGACGTGTTAAGTGGCCTAGTTCATATTGGAATCGGAAGCAGCGCTAAGGACACTTGTTGTCCAGTGTTGCAAGGACTAGTGGACTTAGATGCAGCTGTATGTCTTTGCACAACCATTAAGGCAAAGCTTCTGAATATTAACATTATTATACCAATTGCTCTTCAAGTCCTTGTAGACTGTGGGAAAACACCTCCTTCTGGTTTCCAGTGTTCTGCTTAAGCTTGTTAAGGTACAGCTGCAAACCTTCCACACCCAATAAAATCCAGCATTCTGAACCCAGTTATGTATTTACTAGTCTTCTTATTTATTTATTTTTATTTTTGGTTTTTTTTTTTTTTGTTTCTGTGTTTGTAAGCTGTTGATCCTATACAATATAAACTGGATTTTGTATGGAACTGTTTGTTGTATGAAAAAATAGATCTGCTGTGCAGAGGATTGCTTGCAATAATAATAATAATCTGTGTGGGAGTTTGATTCCAAGACTTTTTTCCTTTTTCTCTTTGTTTTTTATGGCAAAAAAAAACCCTTTTTATTGATGAAAATTTAAGCAAAGAGAACAAAAATTACATCAATAAAAATGAGGGCAAAGAGAAGGGACTGACAAATTGCATTAATGCTCCATACAATGAAAGAAAATAATGATAAATTATATTTTGTCCATTTTATGTTTGGTTTTTTTTTTTCACTTTAGCCCTTAAAATTTTTTCCCCCCTCACTTTGGCCCTTAATGTTTCAATTTTTTTTTTAATTTACTCCTAAAACTAATTTCTATTAAAAATTAGACAAAAAATGATACATTAATAGTCAAGTAGTATAAAAATATTTTATTATATGTAGTTCACAAGCTTGACATAAACTCAAACATTAAGGCCAAGTTTGACATCCTCCAAAAATTCCAAAAAGTCAAAAAGTCACTATACTATTTAAGTCACATCATCTTATTTAAGTCACATCACCTCTCTAACACATCACTTCAAACCCATCATCTTATTTAAGTCACATCACCTCTCTAACACATCACTTCAAACCCAACCCAAATCCAACCCATATTTCATAAAAAGTCAAAAAGTGCACTTATTTAGTCTTCCCAAACTTGGCCTAATATAATAATAAATTTTTTATATAAACTCCAACATTAACATAATAATAATTTTTTTTTTATATTATGTGACAATTATTGTGCCATTTTTCTGTCTAATTTTGGAAAAAAAAATTGTAAAGGTAAAAGTGAAAATGTGACCAATGGGATAAAATCTTATTTATCCAAAAAATAATAATGGCAAATTGTAGCAACCCGCTCCAAAGCCTAGCTGAAAGATTATGCCCTGTTTAGCAAGTTGAGTTTTAGCTTTTTTTTAGATTAAAATTTACAAAAAGATAAAATAGGTTAAAATAGTTAATAAGACAAAATGTCATATAAAATCCATAATCATTTCACTTTTTTTTCTCACAAATATTATATTTAACTATAAAAAGATCTAACTATCTTCTCAAATACAAAAATTTTAGCTTACTAAAGTTAAAAATTAAAATAACTTACTAAAATAGCAAACTTCCAGAACGAGGCTTATAAGTAAAGGATGGGCTTCTCTCCAGTCCACACAGTGGACTAGAGTGTCCTGTTGGACTCGTGGATCTCAGTATAGGTCTCTGTTTTGATAATTCGAACCGTTCAATGTGTAGGGTTCGTCGAGTACTTCATGCTTGCAAAACATCACTTTGATTGGATATCGGTAGCCCCTTGATCGAAACATATTTTTCTCAATGGTAAATATGATCTTAAAACTAAATTATTAACAAAATGTGTTCCGATCAAGAGGCTACCAATATTCGATCAACGTGATTTTTTTGCAAACATGGAGTACTCGACGAGTTCTACACATTAAACGATTCAAATTATTGATATGAGAGTCGTGGTAGGTCTTACGAACCCAACAACACACTCCAGTCTATTACGTGGACTGAAAAGAAATCTCTCTATGGACTCGACTTTTTCCGCGCCCGCCTTTTGGAAAGAGTTTGAAAAGAAGGCTTCACAGTTCGGACTCCCATAGTTTTGAATTTAGTTTCACAAGTGCAATGTGAAACTGATAAACACCAAAGAATCTAAATTCGGCAAATCTTTTTGGAAAATCAATTTTAAATCAAATAATACCAAAATTGGACTGCTTTGCTAGATACAAAGTCGTCACATAAATATTTTATTTTGGGGAAATTTAGGAAACCCTGACTCGTGCAGAAGGCGACGTGTCCATCATCATCAAAGTTGCCTCGGCTTGGGAACTTGGATACGAGGGGGGAAGGTCATGAATCGAGTACCCCCGCTCGCCCGATCAAAGATCGACCTCTACTAACCATGATATGTTCTTTTATAAAGATTATGTGTTTTTATTCTAGTTATTAAACTAGTTTTACAATGTGATGCACGCAAGCAAGTATAGACTAGTCGCAAGACTTGGAACAATTCAACTCATGTTTGTTTTCGAAAATGGTTTGAGTTTGCCACCCTCAAGTGGGCTTAAAGATGTGGTTTTGCCACCAAACATAGTGGGCTTAAAACATGATTTGCCACAACAAAGTGGGTTTAAAACTCACATTCGTTAAATCGTTCCAATTCAAACAACAAGCCTTCATCCACAGGCATTCAAGCAGTTTAACAAGTAGGCACATAGCCTCATGGCAAGCATGCTAATCATGACAACATTCACACTCATATAAGTATGCTAAAACATAAAACTCACCGAGTACTCCAAGCCAAAACAAAAACTAGTTAGAAGATGCATGATCCTAACTATGCTAAGATGCCTATGCAACACAAGCAATATGCAATTAATAGGCTTGGCTACTAATATGGCATTTGCAACACTTTGAAAGCATGCTTTAAAATATGTATTCAAAGAAGTATTGAAATGACAATGTAGTTTGAATGATGCGCCGAGCGTCGGTGGATGCAAGACAAATGAATGGATACAAACATGCAAGCATAAGGTATGCTAATTGAAAATGTCTGTAATCTAACCATCGAAAGCGATTAAATAAAAGGGAAAAAGACGTGAGGTTGGAAGACATACACACACACACACACTTATTACAATATTATATCCTCGCGAAAGAGGGTCTAATTAAATAAGCTAACTAGCTACGCTAATTAAGGTAGCTAATTATTACAAAATGAATTAATTAACTATTCTAGGCTAACTAATCATTACAAACCGGAAACGAATAACTAGTTACACTAACTAATTACAACACTTGAATTAACTAGCTATTCTAAGCTGACTAAAGTGATTAAACTAAATAATTAGCTACCACTAACTAACTAATCAAAGTAGTTAAATGGCCTTGGGAAGCGAGGGATGCATGCATGCTCGGTTTCTTTACTCGAATATGCCACCGCCTTGCCATTGAACGCCTCTGTTTGCAATTATTTGAACACCAACAGTGCTGCCAACTCCCAGAACACCTCTGCTCCACCTCAAGAACACACTGAGCAACTTTTTTCATTGATGGCCGGTCGGCTAGTTCTGGTGGCCGTCGGCCACTGCTGGTGCCCGGTTGACTACCCCTGCCGTGAACTTCCTTTTTTGCTGCAACAGAGAGTAAACAGAGGCAAAGCAGTGTATTCTCAAAGGTTGTCTATACAGTTACTTTCTTTATCATCACACAAGCTCAAAGAAGTGTAACTCTTGGCCTTCAAACCATCAACCAAGCATTTTCCATGCATGATGGCTAAGGAATCAAGCTTGCACAAGCTTAATGAGTACACAACAAGACTCAAAAAAACCACCACCCTATCATGCATGATCAAGGGTGATGGTGACCAAGGAAAATGGTACATTTCATTACTTTTGAGTATGAAATGTCCCATTTCCCTTGTGTTCGAATTAACGTCCGATTCGAACACATGCAATGCAATACGAAAGATGCTTATCTTGCCTCTTGTACTTGCCATGTTTTATTTACTCATTTTAGTTAAAGGTTGTCTATACAGTTACTCTTCTTATTATCACACAAGCTTAAAGAAGTGTAACTCTTGGCCTTCAAACCATCAACCAAGCATTTTCCATGCATGATGGCTAAGGAATCAAGCTTGCACAAGCTTAATGAGTACACAACAAGACTCAAAAAAACCACCACCCTATCATGCATGATCAAGGGTGATGGTGACCAAGGAAAATGGTACATTTCATTACTTTTGAGTATGAAATGTCCCATTTCCCTTGTGTTCGAATTAACGTCCGATTCGAACACATGCAATGCAATACGAAAGATGCTTATCTTGCCTCTTGTGCTTGCCATGTTTTATTTACTCATTTTAGTTACCGATCCATTCTTTAATCGATTAAGTCCAAAAGTAAGTGTCCTTTAATGGAAGGATGACTCAAACCACAAGTTACTTTGGGCATGAAAAAGGCATTACACTGTTGGTAATGAACCCCCTAAGGGATTAAACCATTAGGTGTAACACCTTAATTCCACACTTAGGCAAACAAGTGGTTTGAAACCACTTTCAAAGCAAACAAAAGAGTGAAGAATGGAGAGAGGTTGCAGAGATTAAGGTGCTGAAATTACATGCAAAATAATACTAAAACATACAATCAACTCAAGGAAATGATGTTTAAAGGCCTAAAACACCAAACTAGTAAAGCCCTTTACATTACCACCATGCAAAACAAGACTCATATGACCCAACCAGTCCAAAACAGAGCTAAAGCAGTCCAAATTAGAGGCAAAAACATGCTGGAATTAAGCTAAGTTAAGCTAGAAAAACATGCTAATACATAGAGCTAACTAGGCATGCAAGTAAGATACAAGGAGGGAAGGCTAACACCTCCAATTTTGGACTTCAAAATATGTTTTTCACCACTGAAAAACTTCTGAAATTCAGTGGTTTAAAGGCCAAAAAAAGTTGGTTTAAAAGTGTTGAACAAAAGTGTAAAAGCTTTATGAACAAAGAAGCAAAAAGGGTGAACCACCCTTAACTCAAAAAGGCCTTAAACCACCATTTTTAAACCATAAAACAGAGTTTTTTTGGAGTTCAAAACCATCTCAAAAATAGTGTAAAAAGATGGCAAAATAAGTATGAAAATTAAGCTAGAAAAGAGAAGTTTCTACCTCTTGAAGGGAAGACACTATTTAGGCAACAATTCAAGCCAAATTCAAGCTAAAATCACTTTCTAGAGCTCAAAGAGGGCCTCAAGTAACCTCATCCCAAGGATAAGCAACTTGGTTAAGGGTTGATAGGCAAACTAGAAGTATATCTCTACTTGTATGCACAAAAGTTCAAGATGGAGAGAAATTTAGAGAGAGAGAATTGTAGAGAGAGAGAGAGAGGATTGTAGAGAGAGAGGCTCCCAAAATTTTTCTAACCTTGAAAACAATAGAAAAGGCCCTT